CGTCAGAAGGCGTAGTCTAACAAACCCTGGTGGTGTGTCGAAATCTTCCATTAGTAGGATAACATGTTTCGATGTGTTATAGATCCTGGACTGAGATATGTCAGTTATTAGCTTAAATCGACAAATCCAGTGCATTATATCAATGTCAGATGATTTCAACCTAAACCCCTCTCTATAACTACCACTATGCATCGCAGCATAGCCCTTATAATTATCAACAGGTCTGCTTATCATCTCCTTCATGTCCATCACGTCCCTCCTGATGACCACTTCTGTCGGTGTCCCTATCTCACGACACAGACCAACATACAGGACCTCTGATAGACGGGGGATATGGTCCATTCTGAATCTAAAGAATAATGAATTAGTTATATTTGAATTTTTAAAAATCCTTAGGTATGGGAAATAATTTTTTATTCTTTACAATGTTATCTAGTATTCATACAAAGAATTATTATAAACGTAGTTTTAAAAGTATATTGTTGGGGAAGGAAGAATGTCTTTGTGGCCCCAACTTTTTGGCTTCTTCCTCTACCAATACATGTAGTACGCCTAGTTTTCTCTATCATGTCCTCCACATCCCTCACGTCCCTTCTGATGGCCACTTCTGTCGGTGTCCCTATCTTACGACACAGACCAACATACAGGACCTCTGATAGACGGGGAATATGGTCCATTCTGTTTATAAAGATTAATAAATAAAATAATACTTGAATTAAAAAAAAGCTTAACTAACAGATTTGGGAAATAAATTCTAATTCTTAACAAGTTTATCTATTTATACAAAGAATTATAATAAACGTAGTTTTAAAAGTGTTGTGAGGAAAAGAAGAATAACTTTGTGACCCAAACTGTTTGGTTGGAATGGAATAGTCTCTTACCAGTCCTAGGGGTCTAATATTGTAGATTAAGTTACACATTTTAAATTAAATACGTACACGTGTATTCATATAAAAACGTTTATATGAAATGAATTACCTGATAATTTTGTCTCTGCAAATGGCGGCCTTTAATTCAGTAGAAAATACCAGTTTCGTATATTCCATATAGGCACAAAGGCTGTAACCTACACATCATTTTCTTGTGAATAAAAAATTCACTTGAATAAATGGAGGGGAGTTGATAATAAATCTTGCCTATTGATTTATTTTATTGCAAATGCCAGCAAAAACATTCTTAGCAATTTACACTTTTATACCTATCCGATTATGTTGACAATTTTGCTTTATCTTTAAGGAAAACACTTATGTATTCCCTTAACTGGAAATTTTTGAGCCAGAGTTCAAAAGATATAAATATCCAGCTTATGTCTGTATCTAGGAGTCCATGATATATAAGTACAGGAAACAAAACTGATAATTCGAGTTATATTTGGTTAGTAGGAAATTCAACGTATTGATCGAATTTTGATTATTCAGTATAAGGAATTTTCCATATTTTCTAAGCAGAGTAAAAGGATAAGTTAGAAGTTGTCAGATTTGTTCAGTGGTCTTCACATAATGATATAAACTGCATGTATATACGTCTACCATATTATTATCACTGGTAAAATTAGAATAATAGGTGTCTGAGTTTGCTAAATTGCTCCCTTTGAACCCCCCTCCCCCAATATCTATGGAGAGGAAGCTCCTTGTCTACCCACACTTTGCACCTCAGGTGAAATCTGTGACTTCACACTAGCCTACATATTAGCAGAAAGGAATATACGCCACTAAATACCTACTGTCAGCTCCTCTTCTTTCGTTTTCACTTTAACACATTATATAATTTGAGTCAAATTCCAATTGTTCTAAAACATTTTTATATAACGGGGAAATATGGTACAAAATCGAAATATTCTTTAAATTGGAAACTTGTGTTACATTTAACTTTCTCTGTATGCAAACACCATTAAACATCATGAACAAAAAATCATGAAAAGGAACAAATATCGGTGATCATTTTCATATGTACATGTATTTATATATATTGAATATTATAAAGACTATTTGTTTGTGGTTCACTTTTACGTACAAAGCAATAGGAAATATTTTAATTGTTTAAAAAGTGCTTACATATAAATTGTAATACTAATTGTTAGGCCATTATATAATACATGTACACACTGAATTTTCAAATGATTTTTTTTTCGCAATTTTCCGATTATGACACGCCGGAGTGACCGGTCGCCAACGGATGCTCACTCCTCCATGGCATCTGATTTTCACCTCTATTGGTTTGAAGGTCCGTTTTTTGGTCCGTGTTTGAGTTGATCATATTTCATATTGTTTAATTGACCTTTGAGCATTAATTCTGTTCTTTATCTCCGTATATTATTCCGCCTCATTGACACACCCCAAAATAATCCTTAAATTCAGTCGTCAAAGGAAAATATCACCATTCTGGGAATATTGAAGATTACGTTATACAACAAAGAAGCATGAGTTGAAGAATAAAATACGTATAGCTTGCATGTTTTCCCCAAAGGTACACAACTACAGTGGTCATGGTAAAATTGCTTAATCTTTATTCATTTACCCTCTTTTTTCTTCAAAAATGTTTCTAGATGAGGACAACGTGAACTTAAATTACATTTACCCAATAACCTGAAACGGTTGTATTTACTTGCATAAAAGAAATGACACTCGAAAAATATTAGTTAATAAAATTACAAAAATGGACAAATCACACTCAGTTAAAAATTCAAAATATATAAGCTGATGTATTAGTCTTCACGAAATAGATTGGTGGCATATAAGGTTTTCTACTTCTGTAGAAACCAGATCTTCTTCTTCCTTATCAAATTTAATTTGTTTTGGCATAGATGTTTGTAAAGGAATTTCCATAAATTCAATTTTATATCCAGCATAAATTATATCTAAAATCCATTGATCATCTGTAAAATTTGTCCAATACTCATAATTAAGTTTCCTTACCTTTACTTGTAGTACTTCTTTGTCGTGTTCATGTACTGTTTCTGACTTCGACCTCTCTGTTTACTGTTCAAGGTCATAAATCTTGACCTGCCTCTGCCTCGGTAAGCATTGTTGTACCTTTGCATTTGGCTGGAGTAATTTTGATTGCTGTGTTTTTTGTAAACTGCAAACTATTTTTGGGTTTTGAATCCCAGAATGGGGATTTAATACCAATGGGATGTTTATTTGTGTCCCCCATTTCTTTCAGTTTTGACATACAATTGTCCCCAAAAAGTTGATCGGTCACTGGAATTTCAGCGGAAACAATTTTCTTGTACCTTGGATTCAGACATGATTTGATTTCATTTCTGCGTTTCATAGATAAATTTTAAAAACTGTTTCCTAGCATGCTAATGGCATCGCCAAGCATCTTTTTGTTTTTAACTGATTCTGTGTCTTGTTTGCTAATCATAGATTCCGCCATCTGAACAAGAGAAATTAACCCTGTTGCAATAGATTTCTGAATTATCTGTAAGTTTAAATCAACTGCATGGGCATTTTTTCCCATAACATCCCATATTTCTTTATTAACACGAGGGACTTTGAGATTGCAATTCTCTGGACGTGCGTATTGTTTTTGCAACTCAGTCATAGCTTCTTTGTCGGACTTAACAGATATTGCTGCATTTACAGCGTTTGCCAACCCATCATTTACTTTATGACCTGTTTTTTCCGTAGCATTTAATTGGGGAATATCCCACAAATCATTGTCCTCTTTCAGATCATTATCTATTGTAATTTGCAAAGCTTTACTATCAAACACATCTTTAAAGGCATCATTTGGATTAATACCTGGGATTAAAGGTGAGGACTCTGGGTTATCTAAATAACTCAGATCAAAATCAAACTCATTTGGCCCATCATAAACATTATAATCTACACTGTTTTGATCATAATCTGGAACAGACACAAACTGTTTTACAGGTTTGTTACTTTTATTGTATACATCTGCCTGTGTTACAGTGCAAGATGGAATCTGTTTATTGTTGCTGACATTGCGTTCCATAGATTCTGAAACATTATTATGACCAGAACTGCGCGCCGTATTTTCGGCCATTTGACTTGACAATAATGAAATCGACTCAAGTATTTTATCAATCCCCAACTGAGTTTTCAAATCATTGAAATTGATGTCATGAACTATTTGAGGGTTTGTATCTGTGCTTACCTGTTTCTTAGATTTCTTTGTTTTTGCACGTGTTTTATCTACCGTACCTGGGGTCGGCGCTTTACGCTTCACTCCCCTCATAGTTTTCCTGTCATCTGTGGCATTACTAGCCGAACTTCTCGTAGCAACTTTATTGCCAAATAATTCCTCAATATCTGAGAATTTCTCAGTATCGCTATCTCTAAGAGACAACATGTCCTCATTATCGGACGCCATTTCCGAGAACACGGCAAAAATTTAAGAAAAATTTAACAAACCAAAACTTACCTGACTTACAAAAACAGCAAATAAGTAAATATAAGTAAATATTGCTGTTTTACAGCATAAATCCCCCAAATAAACTTGAACAACGTTCTTAGTTAAACAGATTTTTTGATAATCGAACACCACCTGTGTTACAGGTGACTACTTGTCACTCGCTCAAAGAAGAAGAAAATGATTTGGCACGTGGAGTTGTGCCTTATATACTACAGGTATTCAGGTAATACATACGTCATACAGATATTTTTAACTTCTTTAAAAATGAGATTCGCTTCGCTGGCTCGAAGGAAAATGCTATATGATACCCTTTGCAGAGCCGAAAGGCGATATGTAATAGAATGGCAGTGTCTATGTTTTGTTGTGGGAAAGCCAAAATATATGTCGGATTAAAAAGAAAAATAGGAGGTGCACAATGGCAATATGTAATAAAGATTCTGTGAAAGTTTACTCAAATTTCATTCAGTGGGCATTGCAAGGATGTATTAGCCAATAAAAAGAAATACGCAAATCATTTCAATTTCCTATTTTTTCATAAAATAAATTACATGTATTTCCCGTTTATTTGTTCAACATTGTAACGCAGATGATGTACAAGCACAAACATAAACAAAGAAACATTTGAAATGTAAATTTACGTTAAAGAACTTCATATTTTTTTATTTATACGACCATTCTTAAACAACAGATAATACAAGTGACATTATTTCTAGATATTTCACAAAATAGTGTTCTCAACTTTTGGTTCTTATTTTTCGACCCACAAAGAAAATCTCCAGGAATCTAGACATTCCTATTTGGCTATGATTGTATATTTCTATGTATTTGCTCTCTAACATTTTCAATTCTTATAAATGTAGCTTCTTGAATTTTGTGGAATTGGACCTGTCTGAGCGACTCTTGATAAGACCGTAAAGCCCCGTGTAAGTCTCCCACAACTTGCTGACAGATTCCTAGTATCTGCCAGGATATGTCTCTTAAATGTAAATGCACATACTTCCCATCATCATAGAGCAGCAGTGCCTGTAGGTCTGTCAGTGACTGTAAAAACTGGGATCTATTACCTAGTCTAAAGTGACATAATATTGACAACATCTTAACCATAACATGTGATGGTAGCATTAGCGTATTATTTCCGTTTTGTAGACTCAAAGTTTGCTCTAAACACAATTCTTCTATATATTGAATATTGTTGTGTAAATATATATCTTTCACAGAAGCTACTTTCATCCTTCTAGACAAAGGGAGATTACCCACAACTTCATTATACCTCTGTTTATTGACAATATTGGAAGGATATATGACAAAGTCTTGCGGCAGTCTTTGTTTACTTAGATCGATGATATGTAGTGTTTTATCACACAGTGATGTTCTATAGTAATACAATGCTAGATATAATAATGAAGATACAGGGCCTAACCTAACTGCTAACTTTATCATGTTATAACTTATTCTATCTAAGGTGTAAACATATCTATGTGTGTAAGTTGAACGAGCATTTGCTATTGTGAATGCAAGATGAACAAGTACCTCAGATGTCCCATACTGTAATGTGAGTAACTGATATGGGGAGAATGAACATTTTGATAGTGCATCAATGGATTTCAAGTAGAGATAACAATCCTCTATATGTTGATTAGGAAAACTAAGTTTAAACATTTCAGACATGACACACATATCTTTATCAGCAATACTAATAAATTCTCCGTCAGCAGTAGACAAAACAAAGGACGGACTACAGAGAGCAGGTTCTAGTATTGTTCTGAGAGTCGGACTCAAGAGTAGACAGGACACGCCCATTCTGTAATATTGATAAAGCTGTTGTAAAAGAAATTTTAGTGCGTCGCCAACAATTCTGTTTATGATCATGTTGTTCTGTGGAACAAAAAAATTAGGAAAATCCCCTCGATAAATACAATGTATGAGATATTTAAAACACTTCCAAAAGCAGTCTAGTAAATTCCTTGGACACCATCTTAAGTGACCCTGTTGTATCATCCAGAACATAGTGGTCTTCATGTAATATGAACACAGCAAGGGTTCCTTCCTATAATTGATAACTTCCTTTAGAAATATTTTCAGAAGTCCGTAACATAAAAATTGTGTATGATTCATAGTATACACTAGTTGTTGTTCAGCTCGGGAAAACGATAATCTCCATTCTAATTCGTTACATGTCGAAACAATTTTACTTTCTATAGGCACACAGTGGTACCCTTTTCTTAGAATTTTTTCCAACACAGGTGCCGGTGGCCATGTATGTCTTCGACATCTGTCAACCCATGATCTCATCTGTTTAGGCCAATATTTACTTGCAAAACAAAAGGCATGATCGAATTCAATAGTATTTATGAAACCACTAGTGCATGGACCATGGGTACTGATATTCTTGTGTCGGAAAAATTCATCATTTGCCATTGACTGGAAAAACATTTCTCTCCATAGAAAACTAGATATATAAGCTCTACCATTAAATACAACAACACAGGAGAGTTTGTTCTTGTTCTGTTTCAGTGCCAATGGGCGTAGTCTAACAAACCCTGGAGGTGTGTCAAAATCTTCCATTAGTACGATATCATCTTTTGAAATATCATAGTTCCTTGACTGAGAGATGTCTGTTATTAGTCTAGACCTACAATGCCAGAGCATTACATCTAAGTCAGATGATGTAAACCTAAATCCCTCTCCATAACTACCACTCCACAACCTTAAAAGTTCTCTATACATAGATACGGGTTTTTCTATCATCTCCCACATGTCCAACACGTCCCTCCTGATGGCCACTTCTGTCGGTGTCCCTATTTTACGACATAGACCAACAAACAAAACCTCTGACAGGCGGGTAATATGGTCCATTCTATATATAAATACAAGTACTGGTAAATGAAACATATTTAATCTCTAAAAAAATAATGAACAGAATATGTAAAAGGTATCAAAAATAATTTCAAACATGAAGAAACTTTTAATAAGTTGAATAGATATATTCATACAAAGGATTAGATAAACCTAGTTTTAAAATTTAAGTGATTGTAGGAGGAGGAAGAATATATTTGTGACTTTATATCTTAATTTGGAATAGTCTCTTACCAGCCCTAGGAGGAGTCTTATACTGCACATTAAGTTACATATAGATTTACTAATAACCCGTGTATTTATGAAAATGCGTATATGAAAAGAATTACCTGATAAATGTCTCTGCTAATGGCGGTCTATGTTATCAGGAAATGAAAATTTAGATTGTCTGCTTTCGTTTTCACTTTAATGTTTACAACACCTATGCATAATTTTGAGTCAAATTCCAATTGGTCTTAAACATTTGTATAATTTGAAGGCAAAAGAAATGATTCATAATCGTACTATTCTTTGAATTGGATTTTTGCGTTATATTAAACAGTGAAATTCAGATTTTTCTGGATGCAAACAACATGCAACATCATGAAAACTTCTTTTTCCGTACAGTTGTACCGCGTGGCTCAGTGGTAAGAGCTTCTGCCCTTGACTCGCGATATAGGGTGAATGTTCACCATGCATCAGACACATACCTTGCTTCGGACAACTTTAGACAATAAACTCTCTTTCAACTTAAGAGTTCCGTGAATTTATTTATTTCTGTTTTGAAGCTGAAGATTCAAAATTTTTAATGATACCGATTGTTTTTATCATGTTGTGATAAAAATACCCCGAGAATGGCCTTGAAGTTGCGTCATATATTACAACATCAAAGGGGAATAACCAGAAATTTATGATTTTGCGATTTTTAGAGTAATCGTTCTTACTAAAATTCGACTTCAACGGAACGAGTCAGATTTTGGTGAATAAAGTCGAAAATTGGTAATTTTATAGATTTTAAAGAAATTTTACTTCAGTGTTCGTATAATTCTTTTTAGAGCTGGTTTTCACTAGTATGTTCATTTCTCCGTACATCGGACACAAATTAACCATGCATCGGACACTTTCCGATGGCGCGAATTACTGCAATAAGCATTTTAAAGCATTTCTAAAGCAGAGTGAGGTCTCTTGAATCGTTTTACATTTGTGCAACGATATCGTCAATTAAATTTAATCTGAGGGTTATTTCTTAGAAAAAAGATAAAAATATATCTATATGAAGTATTTTAAAGCACTGTAATAAAGGCATATTTTTCTGGTCTAAATACCGTCTGTCCGATGCATGGTAAACAATGTCCGATCCATGGTGAATTCTGTGTTATTCCTAAAAACTCGATATTTGAGGATATTTTCTCAATAAAGGGCATATAATTGTGTCCCAAATTGATATTTTAAGTCCACTAAACGTTAAGCTCCATTTTGATAATTTTACGTCGGTAGCGATATCGCTAGAACTTGTTGAAGTACAAGGGTGTCCGATGCATGGTGAATTCTCCCTAAGGAGTCAATCCTTATGTCGCGGGTTTGAATCCCACTGTGGGACGTGGAGGTCGGTTCTTCGGCTGATATCGTAAAAACTGAGGTCCCGTGTCGCAGTAGATGCTGGCACGAAAAAGATCTCTCACTGCTCAATGGCCCTGAGTGCTGAGTATAGGTCATAATTTGTAGCTCTCCACCGACAAGTGGTGTGGCGTCTCCATATAAGTGAAAAATTCTCGAGAGGGACGTTACACAATATACAATCAATCAATCTTCCGTACAAGTTGAACTCTGTGAGAGTATTATACTCGGGTACTGAGAAGCATCGCGTATTTCGAACAAAGCTAAAAACCCAAAATCTACATACTATATTCAATAAAAAGATATTAAAAACAGTTTAGGTGGTGCTTGTTGCAAATTGTCAGCTGGCAAGGAGTATGAGTCTAGTTGTGACGCAAAGGACTCTTAAGTTGGTGCCGAGGCAACTTCAGATGGTAAGTGGTTTCAATCTAGTATTGTTCTCTAAAGGAGAAGCGATGTGCATCTAACCGAGTGTGGTAGACGGAACATGTGGAGGTTGCATCTAGTCCTACTATCACTGTTAAGTACAAATCTGCTTAGCCACTAATGCATGCTTGGTCGTATAAGCAAAACAAGTATGATTTTCATTCTTCTCATTATTGAGAAGGTACCCATTGGAAATCTAAGATCATTTGGGTCAGGGTGGTAATCATGGTAGTGTTGGTGGCGAATCGTGCTGATCTTCTTTGCAATTCTTCAAGTTGTTGGATTTGCTTGGAGCTCCAGGGATCACATGCTGCACAAGCAAATATAAGAGTTTTTTTTCAAGAAGTTTTTTTCTATTATTTTTTTTTATAACACGAGCCCGCAATGAAAAAAAAACAATGGCAACTTAATACTTTTTAATTTATTTTTTTTATTGACTTTAAACATAAGCATACATACTCATACATAAGCACAATGTTAGACAAATATAAGTACTTTCTCGTTTACCAAGAATCTATGTATAATTTCGTAAATTAAACCATAAAAGCCTCGTGTCTATTCTTATTGAATGATATTTTTTTGGCTCAATTTCCAATTAAATTTCTCTTGAAGCTACAGTTCTTTAGTGCAATTTGATTCACACTTTGGTGAAGTATATATATGTAGGACTCCAAAGTGCGATGGGATTCCAAAGTTCGATGGTCTGACATGCCAAAGGCCAGTGGTGCAGAAAAAATAACGTTTATGATATTATAATACTACTGCGCCTAAACCCAATGCCCTGCCAAGTAAATAAATAAAATTATGTGAACACTAACCCTAATCTCTCAAAAAGGTGCAAAACTATAACCTTAATCGCTCGAAAACTGTGCAACAACTATAACCTGGAAGGATGCAAGACTAAGCCTAATCACTCGACTAGTGTGCGAGAACTAATCCTCAATATCTCGGACTGGTGCAAATTCTTAAACAAGATCTTGCACAATATTTTTTATTTTAGTGAACTGCGGGTTCCTATTAGATTTTGTAAATACTAGTCTTCTGATCCAAGTTTATTTTAAAGTCTAAATATAATGGTCAATATTGGTCATTTTAAGACCACCGTTCTCTATGAAAAGTTGCATTATTTTCGTGAGATTTTCTATGTTTTTTGTTTTAATTATATTTATTTTTAAAAATTCCTATATATTCTTTTATCCACTTTTTATCCAGCTTTGGGAGAACAGTAAATACATGTGAACGTTTGGATAAAAATAGACTTTTTATTATTGTAACTTTCCCTAGTGAAATTTTTCTTCTTTACTATGAATTGTTTTTTAATGTTTGATTTTTATTTCATATTTTTTTTTAATTGTGTATGTGATGCCAAGGACTGAAAAAGGTTTCACTGAAGGTCTGTTTCATTACATAGTTTTTCTGGAATTGGTTGTGTTTAAGTAATGTTTGCTTTAAGTCCGGAGAATTTTGAAACTTGAAAAAGAAGACCAAAGACACTTTTTAGGCTCTTTCTGAACCATCTAAAACATAACAGTTTCTGTGTTATCTGCATATTTGAGTAAACGTATTTTCCTAACCTATTTTTATTTTCTTTAATCATATATCCCACTATCTCTACATACACGTCATATTTATTCGGAGACGGATCTCTTTGGCGACAACCTCTACCTATTTTGAAAAATTGAAAATATACCGTTTTGAATTACACATTGTTGAGTTTGATTATATAGTACTTGTATCCACTTGATAAGGTCAGGACCAAAGTTTAAAAAATTTTAAATGTTCTGTACATAACTTTCCATGAAACCGAGTCAAAAGCCTTCTGATAATCAATGTGTAAAATAATTCTTGGTATATTTCTTGTCTTTGTACATTGAAGTACATCATAGGTAATACGTGTATTTCCACCAGTAAATCTATTCTTAAAGCTGACATGAACTCTTAAAAAGCCATCATTTTTCATCTTTGTACGACTTACTACATTCCTGTACGCCTTTGTCCGCCATATTTCTTCGATTCCGCCACATTTATTTAAAATTTTTGGTCACCTGTACCTGCTATATATAGCCTTGTACGATAGCATCACTTGAGTGATTTTCTAGCCTGATTGTCGACATGTACACATCTCCGATAACAAAGTTTTTAGAAGTCCATAAACTGACCAAATACATGTTTGAAAAGTAAAAATTCAACAAAAAATAGAACTATACCGAGAATTAAATTATTTTTTAATGCATTTGCAATTTAGAAAATAAACTAACACGGAATACATACATGTACCCCAAACACCCATGCAGGTCGAGAAAACGCGTCAAACGCAGTGATAAAAACATTTACCTGACTACGTGCTATCGTTACAGGGATGTGCACATGTCGAAAGAATTATCCTATTTTACTTTTATTGAAAATGCATCTCAGAAGTCATGTAATCCATTACTAACTCAACAGTAAAAGATGCTTGGACATACATGGCCCATGCCAATCATTTTCTTTGGTCAGGGAAAATATCAAAGGTTGAAAGCTCAGTGGGGTTGATTGAAAAAAAAATGCAAGTAATTTTTTCAAAAATAAACATTACTCTTGTCTGTACATGTTGTAAATAAAATTTACGATTAAGTACATGGTTTAACTTCATCAAATTCATTAAAAAAAGCAGGCATTATTACGAATCATTCGCCTTTTGAAGATATTTTCCCGTGATATGAGGGGGGAAGGGGGGTGTGTGTGTGTGATAAAACATGCATAACACTCTCATAAAAATAATGTAAGAAAAACGTCTTAAACAGATTGGATTTCTTTATGATCAATTATTATCAAATAAATACTGTTTATTGGCTTTATTAGACCTTATATAATTTGATTTAAAGTTATTTATAATTTTATGCACTATGATAGAAAAAGTGAGCAGTTCACATACCCCACGCTCCCCCAAAAGTCGAAGTGCTGAAATTCCCAGAAAAAAATAAAGGAATCGTAATTTCCTTGTAATATGCACATCTATAAACATTGTGTCCTAAATATCTGCAAAGTTTGACGAAATTGTGTGCAGCGGTTTATGAGGAGTTGCGCTGACAAACTGCTCACCTCTATATTCAAGATATGGCCAAAATCTAAATGTAAAAGTGCGGAAATTCCCGAAAAATAAAGAATTCGGAATTTCCTGGTGATGTGCAAATCTACACACATTGTTTCCTATAAATATCTGCAAAGTTCGACAAAACTCTGTACAGTGGTTTATGAGAAGATGCGCTGATAAAAAAAAAAAGACTGACTGACGGGTCAAAAACATTATACCTCACGCGTGGGGTATAATAAACGAGTTTGATTCTTTGGTACAATGACAATGAAAATAGAATTTAATGTGAATTAAATTTCTAGAAA